CCAAGACACTGGTATTTACAGCAACGCCGTAAGTTCAAGGCAGTATGACCCTACATAGTCACTTCAAGAAACATAAATGCAAATTGCTCACATTTGTTGGCAGGCGTGGGTTAAAAGCACATTCGAATAATATGCTGCTTGCGAAAACCCGCGCGGCCTTTTACATACGTGTGACCTTTTAGGGTTCCTTATTATAGCTTCTTTATATAAGTCCTTAAGACGATAGGTGCTTTGGGGTTAAGGCAGACTCTACACCCTGATGACTACCATAACCCAGACCCTTTTGTAGTACCCCATTATGGTATATAACCCTTCAAGTAGTGAAATCCTCAAAGACGAACCCGAAGCCGCTTAGACGCCCAGGGCCGACACTTGCCCGGTTTCGGGGTTCAGAGTTTAGCTAACAAGAAGTTTAGTTAGCTTAGGTTAGAGGTTTAAGATGGAATATGATTCTATTGGTGTTAACTGTTAACTTGTTTGCTTGGTTCAAATACCTGCGCAACGAACTATGGACCTCATCTGCCTAGTCCGAGTTTGAAAATGCGCAACCCCAAAACCCCAACGCCTACACCCGACGCCCCAAGCCTGACATCTTTTCGCAGAAAAGCTTCCGAGGCCGCATGTCCACGAAAGAGGTGGGGGCGTGACTTCTCAGTGTGCGATGGGGTGAAGACAGCGTCATCTTGCCCTACGAACATACCCGCAAGGTGGATGAGCAAATGCTCAATGTCCAGAACAAGAACTCGTCCTACTTCGTGGAACCTCGTCTGTGCATGGTTGATGAGTTGGAGCTTTCATGGATGAGGGTCTAGGGTTGCAGAAGGCCTGTGCAGAGGGTCCTTGATTGCAGATTGAGTAATTGTTGTCACGTGAGGTATCTCAACAGGGTTGGGGCACAGGTCTGCTTGTCCGGATAGACGGTTAGCTGAACCTTAGGTTTCCTCAGTCAGAGAGAGAGTCCGAGGGGGTAACCCCTGCGCCACAGCCCTGGCGAAAGAAAGAGAGAGTCCGAAATGATGCGATCCTGTGCTTGTTTTCACGATCTCCTCGAAGCCCCAGAGAGGGAGTGTGCTGCATTTTGTTCGCGCAGCGGAGTCTCAATGAGAAAGGTGTAGGGGAGGGATGGGAGGGCTTGGAAGTCCAAAACCCTAAGCGGGAAATCCCGGTTTGCACAGTTTTGGTTGAAAACTGGAACACAGGGAGTATAAGGGACTTTTTTGTGG